ACCTGGCGGCTAGCAGGTGAGCCCTCCAGGCGGCTGGAAGCTGGGCGGGGACTGACTTCAATCTCCTCAGAGTCAACCTGAAATGAACTTTGTTACACTTTTGTCGTCATGACTCATAGTTCTTCATGGGACTTTGTTCCCATTGATCTGTCATATGTGTGAAGTGGTCTGCCACGTGAGACATAGTGACCCCCCTTACCCCAGGGGACACGGTCACAGACCCCCGAAACCGGAGATAGTGCTGCGTCCTGTGTGACTGTTGCCTCTTCCCCATTGTCGCCCTCCCACGGAGGCGGCCCTGGAGCTCCTCAGGCTCGAACCCAGCACCACTTCTCCCGCTGAGGGCTGCTCCTCAGCAAAAGGGCCCCGCAGACAAAGACTCGGAGCTCAGTAGTCACCCTGGCGACCGGGCAGCTGCTCAGTGCCCCATGCAGGGGGGTGTGCTGGTCAGAGGGGTGATGCCCATCCTGGGCGGGACCAGCGGTTGCCATGGGCAACTGAAGCCGAAGATGGGGTGGGGGATCTGCTGTACATTTCTTTCTCAGGTTGTAGACAAAGTATTGGAAAATGCTGTATTAGATGATCAATCAATGTGAGTTGCTGCCTTCCCTCCTCCACCCCTCCCTTGTCACTGAGAAAGCAGAGCGGTCACCTTTATCCCTGAGCGTCCAACTGGTTCTGCACCCGATTCTGATTTGTTTGTGGGGGGAGGGGAGGGGGAGTTCCCACCGAGCATCTCAACCCTGTCACTCTGCCCAGGGACGCAGGCTCACACAGCAGAAGCGCTCCGCCCACACGCGCCCCACGCACTGCAGACGCAAACAGCCACGGCCCCTGTGCTCTGGCCAACAGGCTGGAGATGGATGGTCCCACAACCCCTCCCTTCGGTGCTCAGCAATCACCGTGCCAGCACAGCTCCTAGAACTCGGAGATGCGTGCTGCTCACTAGCTCACCAGTTTATCAGGAAAGGACGGAACTCGGGAGCAGCCAGATGGAAGAGGTGCGCCGGGCGAGGCACGGGAAGGGCACGGGCTCTCCAGGCGCCACTGTCCCCCAACCCCGTGTGCATCACCCACCAGCTCCCCCATTCCCGTTCTGTTTGTTTGTTTTATGGAGGCTTTCTTACACAGCAGGAATGAGTAAATCGCTGGCCATTGTGGATGTTCAGCCTCCAGCCCGCCCCTCTCCAGAGCTGGCTCCTCTGTGACCAGATGCCATCCTTAGCAGAGGAGCAAAAGTTACTTCACTAATAAAACTGAAGACACCTCTTTACCTCATCACTTAGGAAATCCCAATGGCTTTAGGAGCTCTGTGTCAAACAGGACAAAACCCAAATATATCTTCTTGTTGTAAGTCACAATGTCACAGTATCAATATTTATGGTCACCACAGTGGGAGCAGAATGACAGGAAACAGCCCCTGTGCTCTCTGGGAGCGAACAGTGTGCTAGAGGCTTCTGGGGGACCTGCTGCAGAGGGCCAAGGAGACCACGGGGCAGCCTGGAAGGCCAAGGAGACCACGGGGGAGCCTGGAGGGCCAAGGAGATCACGGCGGAGCCTGGGGGAGCAGGAGACCACGGGGGAGCCTGGAGGGCCAAGGAGACCACGGGGGAGCCTGGGGGAACAGGAGAACACGGGGGAGCCTGGGGGAGCAGGAGTGTGGGGGCAGCTTGTGGATAAAGAAGAGAGAACAGGTGCACTCTCTGCTCGCCCTTCTTACCATGGTTTTCTAGCATGTACATAGTTAGGGGGGAAATGGCTAAAACTCAGAGAGCATCTAGAGCATCGGGAGGCAGAGCCGGTGAGTATGTGAGAGAGACAGAGACACAGACAGACAGACAGAGAGACAGGCAGAGAGACAAAGGGGCAGGTGTGTGTGTGTGTGGGTGTGGGTGTGTGTGTCTGGGGAGGAGGGAACCCCAGCTAGAGTTGCCTACCTTAGTGTTTGAAGAGAAAGAGAGGCTGAGTGACCCAGCCCCTGGCCTCCCAGGCTGAGCGCACCCACCCGTGCAGCTGGCGGCTGTGGGGAGTGCACGGGGGAGGATGCCAGCCAGCTGTCACAGCACAATTCCCTTGAACCCTCACCTTGAGAGCAGATTACCCGGGGGAGCAGGAGCCACGCAGATTACCACATGGTGTGGGCAGACGCTCAGCAGGGGCACGCTGCCCAGACCCTCCCCACTCTGCTGTCTCCCTCCCTCCAGCTCTAAGACGCGACTCTGATCTGCTGAAACACGTTTCTGAACAGAAGAGCTCAGCGCTATGGGCCAGGAAGTGTGTTCCCAGCTCGGGCGCTGCTGGCCACTGCTGCCTTTCCTAAGAACTAGAAGGTTCTGGCCTGAGATGCTGAGAGGGAGGCCTGCCTCCTGGAGGCTGACAGTCAAGACCACGGCAGGGTGTGCGCATCTGGGCTGTTGCCTGGGGTTGAGAGCCTGCCTTCTGCTCTCATAGGAGCCACGGTGTAGCCTGCCACACCCTCTCAAGGCGATGGGGCACGCTCGCACTGGGCGGAGGGTCACTGTCAGAGTTCCTGTCACTCCTACCGTCACCACCAAACCTCGGGAGAGGCAAGATTCTCAGCAGATGAAAACGATGCATGTCTTATTTCCTTGCTTTTTTCCTTCCCACCCCCCCCACATCCCCCTTTGCTGTTTTTGGCCAGTTGATTCAGCAGAAATACGTCGCTGTTCATCTGCAGACAGAGGTCTTACTTGATACACTTTCCTTGCAAAGGCATTCTGAGAAGTATTTTGAGGGAGAAAAACACACCAAACTATGATAGAGTTAGATTAAGAAATATTTTTAAAAGTGATCTGAGTGAGTTGGATTTACATTTCAACCTGCAGTTTCCTTGTTCACAGCCCACTGAAGCGTGTGCGGCCTGGCTGGCAGCAGACACGGCTTCGGGTGCAGGGCGGGCTGCACAGCCCCTGCTGAGTCTCCTTCCAGAAACCCAGGGTCAAAATACCTTCAGTCACCGCCTCCCACTCCATTTCCCCCAGAATCATGAGCATTCTTGTGTGGCATCCAAGATGTCTTTATTATAAATGCATCTATTCTACAAGCCTGCGTTGAGTGCCTGTGACCCCTGGAATTCCAGCCAGCCTCTCCTCTTAGCAAAATAAAGCCTACAGCCCATGGGGTACAACCTTGGCTGCACATCCCAACTAGATGGAAAACCACGAGACAATCTCAAAGCTCAGGCAACTCCCTTCTGCACTTTTGCCCAAAGCGGGGACTCGTGCACCCATGTTCATTGTCACCCTATTCATAATAACCAAATGGTAGGAACAACTTACAAAGCCATTGACATATAAAAATAAAATATGATATATAGACACAATGGAATACTATTCACTTTAAAAGGAAGGAAATCCTGACACGTGCTACACCATGGATGACTCCTGAGGGCATTCTGCTAAGTGGAATGAGCCAGTCACAAACAAGCAAACCAAAACTAAATACTTGCGATTCCACGTCATTGAGGTACCGAGCATCGTCAAGTCATGGGGACAGAGAGGAGCTGGTGCTCCCAGGGCTGGAGAAGAGGACAATGAGAAGTTCTTTAATGGGAACAGTTTCAGTTTTTCAAGATAAAGCACATCTGGAGACAGGTTGTGGTGATGGCTGCACAGCAATGGGAATGTATTTATTGGCCTGCACCTACAATGATTAAGATGCTACACTTCATGTCATGTGTATTTTACCAGCATTTTTAAAAATCTTAGTGTTTAGACCCTGTATCAACCCAGTGTGTTCACTATTCCTGGACGCAAATCCCAAACGCCGCTCCAATGGGCAGCTCGACTGCGCACGAGTTTCTGGGGATTCCCACGCTATGGACATTAGCAGGCTTCCATGAGACATCAATGGAGTGGTTGATGCTCATCTTAAAGACACTGATGTGCATGTGGGAAGTAGGACAATTCTGGCCACTTTCCCACATTCCTGGTAGGAGTATTAGAGCCTCTCTGGGTCTGCTTATAGTAACAGTAACCTGAATGCGCATGGGTACCCGACGGCCGGGGCCCACATGGCTTAGTGCCTGTGCTGATGCCACTGCGTGCCGGGCCATGTGAGGTGCTGAGGGACAGCAGTGAGCAACTCCTACAAAGCCCTCTGCCCCTGCGGAGCTCCCATCCACCCAGGGAGACAAACACAACTTAATAAATATTCAAATGTTGTATCGTGTATCAGAATATGCTTACCGCTATGAAAACATTGAGCAAAGTCAAGGGGGATTAAGAGGTTAGAGTGGGTGGCTATGAGGGGTAAGGGTTGCTATTTTTAAAAGGATATTTCGGACAAGATACTGTAAGATTAAAGACAAAAAGAGTATTCCCAGGGATGTGCTCTGGTGGTAATGTGTTTCTCATGGGAATAGTGGTTAGCCATTCTGGAACTACCTTTCCTCTATACCAGGGTTAAATAAATCAGTAGATAATGAGACACAGGATTCTCACCACAGAGAAAGACGTTACAAATAAGCAAGGAGAAGGTGCTGGAGTGAAAACTGTTCTTCTGGATTAGCGTCTGAGATATCAACCTGAAGTCTTGTTTTTTTAATATGTATAAAATAAGTAGATACAGAAATAAATTTGCATGCATGCATATGTTAATATGCTTATACATTATTTTCTATTTCTGTGTAGAAGAGAGGGCCTGGAAGCTCTGACACCCACCAGAAATAAGCACACCCAACACCTAGAACTTGGTTTCTAACACCTTTCTCCAATAAAAAAAACCATTGCTCCTTAGAAAAATGGCTGATTCTAGGGCTGGGACAAAGAAAATATAAGATGATCTTGGAGCACCTTGTGGTGCCATTTTAAGATAAACCAACAGTTTTATTTACATAAGTTCCAGGTAGAAATTACCTCATAGAAGACTGGGGGGAGAAGAGGGCAGATAGTGTTACTGTAGACTAGTCGGGAGCACTGGGGAGTCTCCCCCATTGGCCAAGATGGTGCAGGGGGACGTTCTTACACTGAGTGTGACAAAATCTAGAAAGATTAATGGATAAAGCCCCAGCACTCCAAAAGCTAGCAAGATAATCAGACAGAAAAAGTCCTTCCCTTCCTTTCCTATAAGAACTGCTGTGAGCTTCATCGGGAAGCGGGGATGGTCTCTGAGATTGGAGTCCTCCATTCTCCCAGGTCACAGCTCCTGAATAAACCTCTTTCCTTTTGCAGCAACACCTGTCTGAACAGTTTGGCTTTCATTGTGGTAGGCACCTAAACCTGTGTTTTGGTTACGATAGGGAGGTGGCAGGGGTAGGGTGACTTTTATGACCTTCAAAGAGGCCCACTAATAATTCTGGGATTTAGCAAGTTTCCCTCTTTCTTCTTCCCTCCAAAGAGATTTTTAGTGTGTATGTGACTGTGTGTGTGTGTGTGTGTGTGTGTGTAGACATAAACACTAATATCAATGCCTGTAATAGAAAGAACCCAGGACCAGTACCAAGAGACCTTGTTCTAGCATCAGCTTTGCTCTAGGCTGTGTCTGGATAAACACTTCAACCTTTCTAGTCTCATTTCCTCACCATTGACCTCAGCAGTTGAGCAACAGTAACTTCTAGGGATTTTGCCCTATTACCTCAGGTACAATTTAGGAACAGTGACAGGACTCTGTAATGTTAGAAGTGGAATAGTATTGAGTATTAGAGAGTAAAACTAACTAAACTAGCTCACACACAAACACAAAACAGAAATGAGATTACTTCAATCGGTCTCTCAATCTAAAATTTCTCAATAAGCCCAAAATAGAAGTTGAAAATGTTTATAAGCCATTCCTTTCATAACACAGAAGTGTGTGTGTGTGTGTGTGTGTGTGTGTGTGTGTGTGTGTTGATTCAGTAGGTCAGTTTATTCGTGTTTGACAATATTCAAAGACTGACTTCACTAAGCAATGTTGAACCTTCGGGTTTCAAAGAATGTGGGTCCAAACCTAACTGATGAGGCATGGTCTTTTTTCTTTTCCAAGACAAGAATTAGTCGTTTAATTATAACAGACCACAATAAGAAAATCTGTGCAATCAATTTGGTAGAAAATGAATGACCTCTCTCCTCCAAGGACAGGCGGTGAAAGGCTTTGCTCTAGGGTCCCCCTCCTCCAGGGGAATGAGGCCCCACAAGCACATTATGCAGGGTCGTGCTGTGACCCGATGCCACGTGGTCTGGGACTCCAGTGGGGTGAATGGATGTGACGCACTGGAGTTTAGCCAAGAGGATGTGGAGGTCCCGCCTGACTGTGGGACTAGAGGTGCTCTATGCGCAGTAGCAAGGCCACTCGACTGATGGGTGCAAACTCCAAAGACACTTTCTTAGCGACCTGATTTACCTCATCACAGTGTGAATTCTTGTTGTTACCAAAGGGCTCGGGACATTCTCTAACATCAAACACTGCTCGGACAAATTTAAGCAGAAACAAAGCAAAACCATTCATGGGTTTAATTGCTCATAAAACACAGATGGATTGAAAAGATTAAGAGGAAAAATATCTTGGCAAAATAAACTTGGAGTTAGTAAATACAGCCCATGCAAAAACTGTTTGAGATGTTGGGAACAAAAATACTAGGGTCAGACCACCAGCCCTGTCAATAAATCTCTTCTCTCAGCCTCAGACAGCCAGTGGCAGAGCGAATCCATGTGGGGCGCTGTACACTAAAGCAGAGAGGCCAGCCCGGCTGCATGGGGCAAGAGGGCCTTCCAGAAGCATGGCACTGCACAGAGGAGCACCTCAGACTCCCTGGACAGCTTTGAACAGCCCACCACACTCACCGCAAGGGATCTGTGCTGGCTGCGTTCCATGTCTGCGTCAACGAAGGGTCCCATCAACTTTAGCCTGGCACAGGAAAACAGGGAGGGGAATTCCTGGGTCTGCAGCTCACTCTTCAAATATACATTGTTTGAAGTATCGGTGGCCTTCTTAAGGATGGGCCCTGTTTCTAATATTTTAATTTGTAATTTAGGACTCACTTATTGGTACTTACTTGCCTTCATCAATATTTTAGCCATTCTGAAAATAGAATTTGGATGGTATTTTT